AAACCAGAGGGGACAGCTGGGCACGGGAGAGTGGTCGAGCTGCAAGCAACTGCTGGTCCTGAAGTAGGATCAGCCAGGGCAACTGGGACGGGAGCCGAAAGAGGTGTGACAGTCGTGTGGTCACGAAAGAAGCACTGGGACGCGCCGGAGTCCAGCATGAAGGAGAGCGACGCAACAGCAGTTGTCACGGCTGGGCTAGTGACTACACAAGCACCTACACTAAAAGCACAAGTACCTACACTAGCAACAGGCAAAGGTCCTAAGCTAGGTACACGCAAGCCAAGAGATCCGTACGTGTCAGAATAAACAGCATCCATAGACATATCAAACACAGGGTAACCACTACGAAACAAACCGGGCCAGATCGAGGGAGCCGACTCAGGCCCAAAACGCTCACGGTGTAGGTCGTCGAGGCGACTGTAGCAGCGCGGTGCAGAATGGTCAGGACGTCAGCAGGTAGTGCCAGCACCAGGGCCGGTCAGGATCCGGTACTGGCAGGGGCTGACGTCGCGGCCACCGCGACGAGCCCCCAAGCCGGCTGGGCCGCTGCTGCAGCCAACGCTACCCGGACCGACAGGCCGCCACGGCTGCTGAGGGCGCCACAACTGCTGAGGGCAGAGCTGCTGCTGAGGGCGCCACTGCTGCTGCGGGTGCCAATGCTGAAACTGCCGATGTTGCTGTCCCTGCTGCTGGAGAACCCTAGTGGACGCCATGATAAAGGCTAGGAGCGACAGGAGCTAGGGACGACCACGAGAACAACTAGGAGCGCCATGTGAAACTAGGCGAGGAACGGCTAGAGCACGGAGCACACTGAGCTAGGAGCGCCGGGTGAAACTAGGCGAGGAACGACTGGTGCTGGAACGGCTGGAGCTGAAACGGCTGGAGCTATAACGGCTGGAGCGAGAACGGCTGGAGCGAGAACGGCTGGAGCTAGGCATGCCTGGAGCTAGGAGTGGCTGGAGCTAGAACGGCTGGAGTGAGAACGGCTGGAGCTAGAGACTGTAAGTGCGGCTGTCGGCTGCCGCTAGTGGAGCCAGTGGCAGTGGAAAGTACGTGCAACAAAGGGGCTGCAGTACTGACGGCTACGGGAGGTAGGGAACTGTGCAGGTCGTCCAGCAAGCCGGAACACAGGCGACAGTTGCAGCCCCCCACCCTGAACCCTATTTTTTTTTATTAATTAATTTTATTTTCTGGCGCCTAAAGCGCTGCGGGGCGCGCTGCCTGCAGGGCTGTAAGGCGCGCTACCCGCGGGGCACGCTGCCTGCGGGGCGCGCTACCCGCGCGGCGCGCTACCCGCGCGGCGCACTACCTGCGGGGCGCGCTACCCGCGGGGCGCGCTCCCTGCGGGGCACGATTTCTGCGGGGGGGGGCGCTACCTGCGGGGCGGGGCGACGCGGCGGGCTAGGGGCAGGGCGCACGGGCGCGCACGGGCTAGGGGCAGTGTGCACGGGCAACGTTACGGGCTGGGGCAGGGCGCATGGGCGACGTGACGGGCTGGGGCAGGGCGCACGGGTTACGCGACGGGCTAGGGCAGGGCGCACGAGCTACGCGACAGGTTAGGGCAGGGCGCACGGGCGACGCGACGGGCTGGGGCGGAGGCGCGATACGGAGGGGGTGGAGGGCGCGTAGGGGAGGGCTAGGCGCGGAGGCGCCGATGGCGCATTACGGAGGGCGCGTTACGGAGGGCGCGGATGGCGCGGAGGGCGCGGAGGCCGCGTTACTCGAGGCTAGGGCGCGGAGGGCGCTAGGGCGCGTGGAGGAGGGCGCGTAAGGCGCGGAGGCGCTCTATAGCGCTGAGGGCGCAAGGGCGCGGAGGGCGCTAGGGCACGTGACGGAGGGCGCGTAAGGCGCGGAGACGCTCTAGGGCGCCGAGGGCGCGAGGTAGGCTAGGCTAGGCAAGGATTCTAAACCTACTCGTGATACCATCTCAGAAAGTGAATGCAACGGAATGATAAGTTTAGGAAAACAAGGGAGTACAAATAGGCAACCTTAACTGTGTTATACTCTCTAAGGTGCAACTCACTAGAGCCTATCACTATCAACATTTGACATGTATTTGCCAGCACACGCGAGAATTTCACTCACGACCCCGTGTAAATTCGACTCGATTGATATGGCAGGGACGATTTGTGCACTTTGGTGTTAAAAAAATGTAAATTTATACTTGTCATTTTACCTGTATAAGCGCATGCGCTTATATTTATTACTCAATTATAAGCGCACCCCCCTAAAAAACACTGTTTTATTATAAGCGTACATGCGCTTATATCCAGGGTGATACGATGTCTTATATCCGGGCGATGACGGTATGAGATGTACCGTATTCTCCCGGATAAAACACCCCCCCTGTAATTGTACACCCCCGGGTAGCTAATACGGGGTGGGTGTTATATCCGACCCCGTTAGTACTATACCCCCCTTTTTGGGGTGATTCTCTATAACACCCCCGTTTTCTTATAGATTCCTATTATAGCTGTTATCGAGTCCGATTCCTTACGGGAGGATATCGCGAAAATCATTCCCTAGAAGAAATTTCGCATGTACTTTCACTTAGAATCAGCCGAGATATCCCCCCTCCCACAATCTTGCTGTCGCCACGCTGGTGAATCCCAAAATCTCGCTGTCGCCACGCTGGCGAATCTTCCACTGCAAGTGGTCCAAGAGGTGAAGTGGCCCAAGTGGCCCACAATATCCTCGTACTCGGTTTTGCGGCATTGATCAACAATCTTGAAGTGAAGTCAGACCCCTGATTTTGTTTCACATATCTGTTTTATAAAAATATACCATATAATAAGACCCGGGTATTATATAGGATTTTCCTTTGAGGAGACCCCCCCCCCCCATTTTTTTCCTATGGTTTTCATACCGTAATACCCTAGGGTGCTTAATCCGGGAGAATACGGTAGCTGTAGTTTGTTCTTCGACTGTGCAATTCCAGAGTGGTTAAAATGAAGATACTGTAACAAGATCTATTTACCCAAAAATAGTGCATGCCTGTACCGTAATAAGAAAGGCAAAACCAATGGATCCATACAAGGTACAATACCCCACAAAGTAATCCGGCATCGGGATACTGTTACCGTACAGTGGTTTTGTTCCACAACAGCATACGGTGACAGTGTTACAGCTACAGCTCGTCCGTAGCAGGCGAAGGCAGTGGCGGCACAGCAGTGGCCTCTAACTGACCTCCAACTCCCACCACCACCCCTTCAGACCCAACCACACTCCACCCCTTAGCATCCCTGTAGCTCTCCTTTCCAAAGACTACGACTTGAACAGACTGTGCGTCGTGAACAGCCATGAGTCGCCTTCGTGCGATCGCTTGTGTGTGCATTTGCATTTGTAGGTCAGGCCCTGTGTGTGCGGCAGAGTCTACACCAGAACCATCACTCCCAGTACTGCCAGAACCAGCACCAACAGCAGCAGCACCTGTGCCTGCAGCAGCCCTCTCTGCTAGCCTTGCTGAGTCAAGCGCATCTCCTCTGAACAATCGACTGCCCCCAGCAGCCACACCACCACCTCCACCGCCACTCCCACCACCACCTCCTCCACTGATGCCACCACTGCCACCAGCACCAGCAGCAGCAGAAGCTGCCACACCATCACCACTCCCACCAGTTTCCACGCCTCCACCCACGCCTGCTCCTCCCGAACCACCGCCGAACCTTGCCACACCTGCACCCGTGCCAGCCTCTCCCAAACGTCCCCGGCCATTACTGACAGATTTAGAGTGAGCTTGCCTCGCTGCTGCTGCAGTTGCTACGCCTCGAGCGCTGTCAGAAATGAAGTGAGAAACCTTGTCAAGCGCAAGACGGCGTTTCTGCTCCTCCCTCTGTTCGTTATCCACTGCCTGGTGTAGCACCTGTGCTGCTGCCTTGACTCCTGTCTCCCCTCCCCCGTGCCCCATCCCTGCCTGCTGCTTGTCGCTCTCCTGCTGCCCCTGCTGCTGATTCTTTTGCTGAAGCGCTTTCTCTTGCAGCGGTTCCTGCGGCTGCTGCAGCTGCTGTTGCTGCAGTCGCTCCCTTTGCTGCTGCTGTAGCTTCTGCTGTATCAGCTGCGGCTGAAGAATCTGCTGCTGCTGCTGCTGTTGCTGCTGGGTGCGCCGCTTCCACCTCTCTGCTGCTGCCTCCAGAGTGCGATTGATGATGCCCGTGGCATAGATGCTGCGGAGAATCAGCTGAAAGGGAGGGGAGAAGGGCGAAGTGAAAGGGTGGGGAGCAGGGTGAGGGGAAAGGGTGGGAGAAGGGGGAGTGGAGAAAGAAAACATCTGCTGCTGCCTCCAGAGTGCGGCTGATGATGCCTGTGGCGTATATGCTGCGAAGGATTAGCTGGAAAGGGGTGAAAGGGTGGGGAGAAGGGGGAGATGAGAAGGGGAAGAGGTGCTGCTGCTGCTGCTGCTGCTGCTGCTGCTGCTGCTGCTGGGTGCGCCGCTTCCACCTCTGCTGCTGCCTCCAGTGTGCCGTTAATGATGCCCGTGGCATATATGCTGCGGAGAATCAACTGGAGGAAATGGAAGGGTGGGAAGAGGATGGGGACAAGGGGGAAGGGGGAAGGGAGGAGGCAACAGGGAACTGTTGCCTCCTAAAATCAAGAATGTGGAAGCGCAGAATTTCTCAGACTTCTAAAAAATACCATGCACGGGTGTGACAGGAAACAGGGGTCCATAGGTTGGAACCGTACCTGGGGTGTGTGGATGCGACCAAATATCCCCTTTTTAAGCAGCTTCTCTATCATGTCACGGTCTGACCACACCACATGGTCCTTATACCTGAGGTTGGTTCAAGTGATTAATCGGGAGGAGAAAGTTAGACTTGATGCAGCACCAAGGAACATGAGATGAAATTAGAAGAGCTGAAGTGGAAGAGAATGAGTGGAAATTATGAAACAGAAGAAGAAACAGAAGAGATGGGAACAGAAGGGATGTAACAAAGGAGATGTAACTGAAGGGATGTTAGACGAGATGTAACTGAAGGGATGTTAGAGGAAAGATATAATCACAATCACACACCCACCATTGGAACATCTGCTCCTCTGTCTGTGTGGATGCAATGATAAACGCCTGCCCAGGGAGACGTGAGAGAGGAAAAGGGAGGGCCGGAGGAAGGAACAAAGGGCGAGTGAAGAAGGGATGGGGGAAGGGGATTCTGCTCCTCTGTCTGTGTGGATGCAATGATAAACGCCTGCCCAGGGAGACGTGAGAGAGGAAAAGGGAGGGCCGGAGGAAGGAACAAAGGGCGAGTGAAGAAGGGATGGGGGAAGGGGATTCTGCTCCTCTGTCTGTGTGAATGCAATGATAAACGCCTGCCCAGGGAGACGTGAGAGAGGAAAAGGGAGGGCCAACTGACGGAATAGTATACAAGTGAGGAACGGGGGAGGAGTGGCAGCGACATGAGACAAGTGCTCCACTGCTCCACTGTCTGTGTAAATGCTATGAGAAACGCCTGTAGAGGGATATGTGAGACATGAGATGGGACGGGAGAGGAAGAGCAAAGAGATGGTGAAAAGGGGAAAACCACCTCTTTATGTCATGATAAACAGCTTGATTTTCAAGTGAGAATGTTGCAAAGCCCTTTCTCTAAGCATTTCTTCACGAGAAGGCGGTTGAGAGTGCGAGTCCCCAAGTGCGGCTTGGCTTGCAACTGTTGTGCTGCCTCCCGGTCCTACTCACAGGCTCCATTTGAGGTGCCTCAATCAAAAGTCGTGCCAAGGCCCAAGTCACAAAGCTGCCTCAGAAGTCGCCTCCTCTTGAGATGAGCTTGCAAGCGGCTTGCTTGCACAGCCTTCACGTCCTACTGTCTGTACTGCCGTCTCACAATATAAAGGTCCCATAAACGGCAGCACTCACTGACGGTCAAAGCCAAGCATGCAACATTTTTCTTTCACGTCCTCCGAGTTTGGCTTGCATCCACAGCATCTGAAGCAGACACATACGTCTGAGCCAACACACACGGAGAATACATTTTACATCAAAAGACACTCACCAGGTGGTCAAAGCTGGGCATGAAGCACTTTTTCACGTCCTTCGAGTTGGGCTTGCACCCGCAGCTGACTGAGACACGTACATACATCTCAGCCAGAACATGCATGTGGAGGACTACATGCATAAAGAGCTCTCTCACCAGGCGGTCAAAGTGAGGCACATGTGAGCCAGAAACACACACGCGGAGTGCATACATACCACATGTAAAGCTCTCACCAGGCGGTCAAAGTGAGGCACATGTGAGCCAGAAACACACACGCGGAGTGCATACATACCACATGTAAAGCTCTCACCAGGCGGTCAAAGTGAGGCACATGTGAGCCAGAAACACACATGCGGAGTGCATACATACCACATGTAAAGCTCTCACCAGGCGGTCAAAGTGAGGCACATGTGAGCCAGAAACACACACGCGGAGTGCATACATACCACATGTAAAGCTCTCACCAGGCGGTCAAAGTGAGGCACATGTGCGCCAGAAACACACATGCGGAGTGCATACATACCACATGTAAAGCTCTCACCAGGCGGTCAAAGTGAGGCACATGTGAGCCAGAAACACACACGCGGAGTGCATACATACCACATGTAAAGCTCTCACCAGGCGGTCAAAGTGAGGCACATGTGAGCCAGAAACACACATGCGGAGTGCATACATACCACATGTAAAGCTCTCACCAGGCGGTCAAAGTGAGGCACATGTGAGCCAGAAACACACACGCGGAGTGCATACATACCACATGTAAAGCTCTCACCAGGCGGTCAAAGTGAGGCACATGTGAGCCAGAAACACACATGCGGAGTGCATACATACCACATGTAAAGCTCTCACCAGGCGGTCAAAGTGAGGCACATGTGAGCCAGAAACACACACGCGGAGTGCATACATACCACATGTAAAGCTCTCACCAGGCGGTCAAAGTCGAGCATGAAGCATTTCTTTACGTCCTCCGAGTTGGGCTTGCACCCGCAGCGGTCCCGCCGAGACGTGAGGTCGGAGAAGTGAGTGTAGGTGAAGTGCAGCACTGCCGCTTCCATCAGCTTCACCTCTCTGTTGGGGGGGGAGGGGGTTAGGAGGGGGGGTGCAGAGCAAGGGCTGGCAGGGTGAGAGATGGTGATGAGAGACGAGAGGTCGGAGAATTGAGTGTAGGTGAAGTGCAGCACTGCTGCTTCCATCAGCTTCACCTCCCTGTGTGTGACAGGGGGTGGGGAGGGGGTGCGTGAGGGCGTGCATGGCCTCGAGCTGTTACAAGGCGGCTCATAGCAGCCTGGGCTGCACCTGCCGAGACGTGAGGTCACTTTTGAGTCGACTCACAAGTCACCACGTTGAGCTGCACCACAAAAGAACAGTGTGCCCAATTCGGCCTCAGATGCGCCTGTGCCTCTCTGACTTGGGCACCTGAATTGCATCACCTTGAACCCCATTCACTCACGCAGTTAAGCTGCAGGCTAGGGTAGATAGGCTACATAGGCAGTCGTACCAAGACACACTCACTTGGGAACCTTCATGTAGTTGTGCCATCGGTGCGCCCCATTGGGCCTCAGGTGGGCCTGCATCTTGGCGCCTGACTTGCCGTTGCCGTACGTGAGGAAGTAATTTGGGTTGCCATGTGCTGCCTGCGAGTGTTGTTGCACGGATAAGGAAGGGACGGGAAATGCAGAGCAGAGGAGCTGGTGGAAAGGGGAGAGGTAACAGATTCGGTTCGGCCCTGCTTGCCAATGCCTTGACAGAACGCATATCTCATCCATGCAATCGAGGGAGTCCATATCGTTCCAGGAAACGCATATCTCATCCATGCAATCCAGGGAGCCCATATCGTTCCAGGAAACGCATATCTCATCCATGCAATCCAGGGAGTCCATATCGTTCCAGGAAACGCATATCTCATCCATGCAATCCAGGGAGTCCATATCGTTCCAGGAAACGCATATCTCATCCATGCAATCCAGGGAGTCCATATCGTTCCAGGAAACGCATATCTCATCCATGCAATCCAGGGAGTCCATATCGTTCCAGGAAATGCATATCTCATCCATGCAATCCAGGGAGTCCATATCGTTCCAGGAAACGCATATCTCATCCATGCAATCCAGGGAGTCCATATCGTTCCAGGAAACGCATATCTCATCCATGCAATCCAGGGAGTCCATATCGTTCCAGGAAACGCATATCTCATCCATGCATTCCAGGGAGTCTATTTTTGAGGCGCCAAAAGAGCTCGCCACCTGCGTGCGTGCCGGTGCCAATGTCATAAATGAATGCATATTACATCCGTGCAGCAAGGAGTGAAAAGGCGAGGCGAGATTCGGGAATCGTAGAAGGTTTGGTGAGGTAGCAGGTTTGCCCTTCTCTTGCCAATGCCATAGGTGCATGCATATCACATCCTTGCAGGGAGAGAATCGGGTATGGTGAGAGTCGAGTATTGGGAAAGAATGCGCGCATGAACTCACATCCCTGTAGTGGGCGAAATAGGCTTCCCTTGTAACATGGTCGTAATTCTTTTTGAACAGCGAAACCTGTTGTAACAGGGAGGACGATTTGCATACATTAGTACATCAACTAGCCTACATACAGCAATGGCAATAAAAGGAAACAAACAAAACAGGACGGTGGATGGCATGCATAGAATGGGAAACAGCACCTCAAAAAGGTAATACCTCGGTGAACGAGTCTCCCACATCAGCTGTTTCCACCACACTCTCCTGTATTCACACACACACACACATGAACACACGCACACACACACAGGGGGGGTGAGTGTATTGGCATGAATGAATACACTGCACCGCACAGCACTGCACCGCACCGCACTGAACTCACGTAGTTTGGAAAGACAATGAGGTCCACATCGCTGGGAAGGTCGTGGATGAGTCGTTGCAGGGAGAAATCGGGCGTGCCTGCAGGGTAGAGCAGCTCGTCTGTGTCCACGTGGAATATCCAATCCACGCCCAACACCTGATGGGGTAGTGCAACAGACGGCGGGGAGTGTTGTGAGAGAGAGCACTAGCACGGTGAGAAATCGGGCGTGCCTGCAGGGTAGAGCAGCTCGTCTGTGTCCACGTGGAATATCCAATCCACGCCCAACACCTGGCAGTGGTGTGACGGGAGGGGAGGGCAGGCAGCAGAACACAGCAGCACAGGGCAGTGAGACAGGGGTTACTGTGTTGCCTGCCAGGTACTGCAGCTCGCCCGTGTCCACATGGAATATCCAATCCACTCCCAACATGGCAGAGGAGGAGTGGCAGAGAAGGGGTGGCAGAAGAGGCAACGTGAGAAGAGAGTTGTGAGAGAAAAAGGGAGCAGTGAGGAGTGAGTTAATGCGGCGGAGTAAGTTGGAATGACCCTCCCATTCGCCATGATGATCAACCTGGTCGAAGACAACAGCCATGGTGAACCACCCTGCAAAACGAATAACTGGTAACTCCTGCTGCGAAATGAATTACAATGGTAACCCTACTGGCGAAAAAAAAAAGCATGGTAACCCACTCACCCTAGCGAAGACGATAGCCATCTCCATATTGAGGGACTGGCACACAAAGAGCTCGTAGTTGCATGGCTTGTTGCAGAGGGGAGGGGAATGCCAACTAGTATAAAAACCCTATCTGGTGAATTGAATGACCATAGCAACCCACCCTGGCGAAATGAATGAGCATGGTAACCCACCCTGGCGAAATTATTGAGCATGGTAACCCACCCTGGCGAAGACGATGGCCATCTCCATGTTGAGGGACTGGCGCACAAAGAGCTCGTAGTTGCATGGCTTGTAGAAGAAGAATGCAAGCCATGTCTCGTTCCACACGCGGCTGGACGGGGAGGGGGTGTGAGAGGGATAAGAGTGGGAAAATACGAGGTGAGGAGGACGAGGAGGGAGTTGGGACACACAAAGAGCTCGTAGTTGCGTGGCTTGTAGAAGGAGAATGCGAGCCATGGAGAATGCGAGCCATGGAGAATGCGAGCCATCCATGTCTCGTTCCTTCCACTCGCGGCTGGACGGAACGGGAGGGGAAGAAAGACGCGGATGTGAACGCGAGGGGGGCGTGCAGAGGGGAGGGAGAGGGAGAAGAAAAGTTGGAAAGATGTGGTTATGAGCAAGGTTGGAATCATGTCATAGCTGCAAGGTTCACAGGAAAAACGAGACGAGCGTTCCACAGAGGCTAGAAAGAAGGGTGGCGTGTTTTGGTGAGGAGAGGAGGGGGGGTTAGTGGGGGAAGGAAGGAAGGGGAGGGGAGGGAGGGGGAGGTGGGGGGAGTGAGGGGAGGTGGGAAAGAATGGTGGAAAGAGAAAAGGGCCTGGCTATATCTCTAACGAAGAGTTTGGAATGGTGAATAATGTCAAAGCACAAGCACAAGGCGGCTGTCAGTATGTCAAAATGGAGAAGGGCAGAGGGGACCCGAGTGTAGAGCATGGCCTACTGATCCTCAAGCTCCTTGTTTCGCTGCACCACTATCACACCCTGAGGGACGAGAAACCTCTGAGCCAACTCAGAAACCACTTCTGGAGATTTTCAAAAGCGCTCACAGCTCACCTCTTGGCTTGCTGGTCCTCAAGCTCCTTGGTTCGCTGCACCACTGTCACGCCCTGGGGGACAGGGGGCGAAGAGAGAAGGGTGGGGGCGAGGGGGCGAGGAGAGGAAAGAGGGAGGGGGAATGAGGGGGGGAATGGGTGGGACTAGGGGACGAAATGGACAAGAGTGATGAGAGGGAAGTAAGGGCAGCATAAGGATGCACCCACGCCCCTATAGAAACCAATGGGAAGATAATACGAGGGAGGAGGATAGTGCGATAAGAAAGAATCGAGAGGGATGAAGACGGAGGAGGGCGGAAGGTGGGGGGGGTTGGGGGGTGTGTGGGACGGGGGAAACGAGGAAAAAAGGGAAGCGACGAACGAGGAGGGTGGAGCAATACAAAGAGTGGTGGGCCGTGAAATTTACCTCCATGGACTCAAATATTGCCACGTTTTCCGGCGAAGAGGCCTTCCCCTCCACGAATAGTATGAAGTAGTGCACACCTATCGCGCGGTGGAACATAATCCACGGCAGAATCTGCTGCGCGCCGCCCGACGTGGTCGTAGTTATTAGTAGCTTCGGACTATCCTGCAGATTTCCGAGCACTTTAATCGACGGATTCGGGTACATCCCCGGTTTAAAGCTCTTCGTTGTATCGCACGGTACATCTGACGGCGTCGCCACGCTCTTGTCAAGTTTCCTAGAGTCCACCTGATGCCATCCGGGCAGCCGCGGCTGTCCGTCGTCTAACATATCAAAATCACCCTGCCAGTGGAGGATAAAGGCGAACGCGGCCAGGCCTAACGGTAGGGCGGCGATGAGCATTATAACGCGGTTGTTATTACCGCGTGAGGGGTCCTGCGATAACGAATGGATTGAGCCGGAGGAGGGAGATGCTGACATGGAGCCTTGTGCAGAACCAGATGCTCCTGGCCGCGTACGCGGTCCCGCGGAAGCGATCATGATTAATTCGAGCAACCTACTAGCGGATCCTCGTATAACATGTAACGACTTCGCTAATAAAGGTCTCTGGATAGTGATTTTGTCAGTAAAATCTGGAAGAGTGAATCCATACAAGATGAAATCAAGGTTCGCCAGACTCGATCATGTTAGGGTTGGTTCGCCAAACCACGGAACCTACGGCGAAAGCTTCTACGACGGCGAGATGCGGAATGACAGCGGAAGGGAAGCGCGTGGGATATTCGAGTGTGAAAACAGTGGAAATCAGCCTATGGTGAAGAGTGGGAGAGAAATCGTGAAGACGTGCTGGAAGGAGGAAGAGAGGAGTCAACGAGGGGTAATTGTGGTTCGAGACTGAGGTGTATCGAGAAGGATCGAGATTCAGACTCAAGGAATGTTCGGTGTTTTCGGTTCGGGCCAGGTTCGACTCGGGGTGGACAAGGCGCGCGCAAGATTGCTTGGGAAACTAGTTACGCTACGAATCATTTTTTGTACCTTGGTTGACTATAAAACTGCTTGTACTCATTCTGGAAAATATAACATTGAGATTCTGAAAATTGCTGATGTATTGACAACTTCAAGCAGAGCTGCGCATATCATTGGAATCAAGTGATTGTGGAGAACACAATAAGCAATAGCAAGTAGATTATTGCCGACCTAGAGATCAGGCGAGAATCCCAAGATGCGTAACTTGGGAAATGTGGTTTGAATGGTAGGCTTGTCAAGACGTGGACACTCGAAAAGATTGATCGCGCTTGATGAACCATTTTACAGATATTTTAAGGGTTACAATAAAAATGCTACTTTGTTCGAGGGGCCTAACAATCTAAGGGGCCGGATGCGGCAACCGATCGTCCAATCGTGATGCAAGCAGACGAGTAAGACTGATAGCCCAAAGGTGAAGCGCCGAAATGTAAGCGGAGAGACATTGCGAAATATAAAAACCATCACGCTTAAAAAAACTAGTTACCCGCCTGACTAACTTAGCATGACATAGTTCGGCAATATTGCAGATTTAAGATCTTGGGCACTACCACAGGGGTGATCGCAAATATACATTATGTAGGCACACACTATGACCGATCATCCACCCCGAATGCAGGATTGTGTCAAATATTATAGCTTGTAGTGGGTTGGGCTATATGGGGTACAACTAGTTAGGGTTAGGTTATGTACCCCAATTCTGTAAATACAACGCATTCCGCTGTAGTTCTCATTCTGACATTGTATCAGCAGTAGGTTAGCGCTCCTAGTCCTAGGCCCGCCCTTCCCTACCACTAGGGTTACCACTGCGCGCCAGCCAGCCAGCCAGCGCCCCAGCCAGCCAGCGCGCCAGCAGCCAGCGCGCCAGCCAGCCAGCGCGCCAGCCCGCCAGCGCGCCAGCCAGCCAGCCAGCGCGCCAGCCAGCCAGCGCGCCAGCAGCCAGCGCGCCAGCCAGCCAGCGCGCCAGCAGCCTGCGCGCCAGCTAGCCAGCCAGCGCGCCAGCCAGCCAGCGCGCCAGCCCACCAGCGCGCTAGCCAGCCAGCGCGCCAGCCAGCCAGCGCGCCAGCCAGCCTGCGCGCCAGCGCGCTTGCACGCCAGCCCGCCAGCGCGCCCGCCAGCGGGCGCACCAGCGAGCCCGCCGGCTCGCCTGCCAGCGCGCCCGCCAGCGAGCTCGCCAGCGCGCCCGCCAGCACGCACGCCAGCGCGCTCGCTAGCGCGCCCGCTAGCGCGCCCGCCAGCGCGCCACGCCAACGGGCCCCGCCAGCGCGTACGCCAGCGCGCCGCGCTCGCCAGCGCGCGCCCTGCTTAGCCGCCCGCCAGCGCGCCGCGCCCGCGCGCCACGCCAGCCAGCGCGCTGCGCCGGAGCGCGCCCCGCCAGCGCGCGCCCCGCCGCCCCGCGCCCAGCCAGTGCGCGCCCCGCCTGCGCGCACCCGCCTCGCACTCACCTCCCTCTCCTCCTCCTCTCGCGGCTGGCGGCCGCTATCACTTGTCCTCGCCCCTCATGGCGACGTCTCGCGTGCTCCGTTTCGACCCTGAGGGGCGTGCGATCGACATTAGTACCTGGCTGACGCAGGCCCAGCGCCACCTTAGGAGCCAGCGCCAGGATGGCGTGCACCTGTTTGCGCATGCGTCCGGTGCTCTGCCCGCCCCGCCGCAGCCTTCACCACTGCCCACTTCCCCACCGCCTACTTCCGAGCAGGAGGCTGAGTACCAGCGCCGGTTCCTCGCTCGTGACGTGTGGGAGTCTCGTGACGCTGCTGCCTGCCTCGCCCTGACCGACCTTCTCCCGCCAACTGAGGCTGTCCACTTCACTCAGGTCGAGTCTGCTGCAGACCTTTACACTGCTATTGTTGCTCGCTACTCCACTCCCTCCTCTGCCTCCCTCAGCCGCCTCCTCGTCCCCTTTATCTACCCAGCCAGCCCGCGCGCCAGCCAGGTGTGTCGCAGGCTACCCCCCCTCCCTCGGTCCCCCCCCAGGTCTCTCCTCCTTCCCCACAGTCGTCCTCACAGCCTCCGCAGCAGCCGTCGGCGCTTCCTCTCTCGGCCACTGCGGACTCTGAGGGTGTTGGTGCTCGAGGTGAGGGCTCTAGCGGTGCCGGTTCTGGGGGTGTTGGAGTTGGAGCTGAGCGTGCACCTGCCGCAGCTGCACGTCCCGAGCGTGTTGGAGTCGGTGGTGGTGCTGGAGCTGGTGGTGTTTCTGGAGCTGGAGAGTCTGGGGCTGGTGCTGGTGCCACTGGCGGCGCCACGACTGGGGGTGCGGGTACACCTCCTACAGAAACTGGTCGTGCTGCCGCAGGGGGTCCTCGCTCTGGGGGTGCTCAGCCAGGTCCTGTCGAGGGTGGAGCCAGTTCTTCTTCGTCGTCTCCTGACACCACTCCTCCTCCTCACCCCTACCCGACTCGTTACCAGGCCCTTCGTCTTCTAGAGCGTGAGGAGCAGCAGCGTTTGGAGCGTGAGAGGTCGGAGGTTCAGCAGCGGGTGGAGCGTGAGCGGTTGGAGTTTCAGCAGCAGCAGCAGCAGCAGCAGCCGCAGCCACAGCCACAGCAGCAGGAGCAGCAGCAGCAGCAGCAGCAGCCGCCGCAGCTGCCGGAGCAGCCTCCGGCCCCTGTTTCTGGCCTTCGGGCCCTTGGTCTCCCCTCCTCTCCTCCTGTGTTTGGTCCCACGTTTCCTCCTCCGGACTCCACTCCGGCTGTCTTCCCTCGTTCTCAGTCTCCTCGGTCCCCCCCTCCTCTCGCCCACACTTGGGCCTCTCGCCCTCCTCGTGCTCGTCCCTCGTCCCCTGTCACTGACCTCCGTACCGTGTTGTTTCGTCCTCGTCCTCCTCGTTCTCCTCCGTCTGTCCTTCCTCGTCCTCCTGAGTCTTCCCTCACTACCTCCCTGTCCACTCCGGTCACTGACTACTACCGCACGTACCGCCCCACTCTCTCTCGTGTTCTCGCCTCTCTTGTTACAGACCCTCGTGCCTCTCCTTCCTCCGTCGCGGTCCTCACTGCCGCTGTCACTGACTTTACTGCTACGCGTCGCCTTGACTACGCCACTCGAGTTGTGGCAGCTCCTCCTGTCCGTCCTCTGTCCGCCGTGGGTGTGTGTGCCCTTGGCTGTGACGTCCTAGAGGACAGACAGTTTGAGCTAGAGTTCCTGGCAGCTGCTTCGCCTCATCTCTGTGCCATGCTGCTCACTCCTGAGGGAGACCCCGACGCTCCTGACATACCTACTCCTCGCACTTACGCTGAGGCAGTGTCAGGGCCTTGGGCCTCTCAGTGGAGAGCTGCCATGGACGCAGAGATGGCCTCCTACAGGTCCACAGGCACTTACGTTGACGAGGTTCCCCCCCCAGGGGCGAACATTGTTGACGGCATGTGGATCTTCAAGGTGAAGCGGCCGCCGGGATCTCCCCCAGTCTTCAAGGCACGCTACGTGGCTAGAGGGTTCAGTCAGCGCGAGGGGGTTGACTTCTTTCAGACCTTCGCGCCCACCCCGAAGATGACCACTCTTCGGGTGTTACTGCACGTAGCAGCGCAGAGAGACTACGAGCTACACTCTCTTGACTTCTCCACTGCCTTCCTCCAGGGCTGCTTACACGAGGAGATCTGGCTGCGTCGTCCTCCGGGCTTCACTGGCACTTTCCCGCCTGAGACCCAGTGGGGCCTCAGACGACCGGTCTACGGTCTCCGCCAGGCACCCCGTGAGTGGCACGACACTCTCCGCTCTACTCTCTCCGACCTCGGGTTTGAGCCGTCTTCCGCCGACCCGTCGCTGTTTGTTCGTCGTGGCCGTACACCTTTCTTCGTCCTAGTCTACGTTGACGACTTGGTTTTTGCCACGGCCGACACAGCTGCACTGGCGGAGGTGAAGTCCGAACTGCAGAAGAGACACACCTGCACTGACCTTGGGGAACTGTGTCGCTACCTTGGCCTGCAGATCTCCAGGGACAGAGCCGCTCGCACCATCACTCTCACTCAGTCACACATGGTGCAGCAGGTTCTTCAGCGGTTCGGGCTTCAGGACTCTTCTCCTGCCCCCACTCCTCTTGCTGTAGACCACAGACTCACTGGGCCTTTTCCTGACGAGCTGTTCGAGCCCAGTGGTCCCTACGCAGAGCTGGTGGGCTGCCTCATGTACCTGATGACGTGCACTCGCCCGGACCTTGCCTTCCCCCTTAGCATCCTGTCTCGCTTTGTTGCGAC